TTGAATCATCTTCATCTAAACTCTTTGTTTTATTTTGTTTTAGAAAACAAAGTTCTTGTTGAAAAACCCAGTATGTGGCGGAGCGTGTTTTTACAATAAGTTAAAAAACATGGTTTTGGCAAGAACTAATCTTTGTATCTTGAAATCTAGACAACGCTCCGTCTTTCTTCGATGGTCTGAGTACAGAGCATAATAACATTTTCTTATGTACTTTATAGTAATATGCTCTTTAAAATACTCTATTGATAATAGTTTCCAGGCCGAACAACCGTAGTGTTTTTATTATTTATGCTCCTAACAAGAATAAGGGTTTTTAAGTCACGCTGGGTTTCTTGCTGGTACTTCACAGGACAGAGGTTTTTTCTGCGAACCGGTGGTAAATGAAAAAATTGACTAAGTATTGTTTATAATCTACATTTAATAAAAAAGTTTCTGTTTCTGTTTCTAAGTTTTTTATAGAATAAGAGTGACAAACGAGCACAAAGACCACCTGATGGTAAGTGGATGCTGTGGCCCATGGACATCTACATTTAACCTCGAATTAAAATGCAGATCGCTGTCACTCCTTTTTTTTTAATGGGGAACCTACCATACCTGGGCAAGGACTTATGTCGGACTCGCACCGATAAAACCCCATGGTGTCCACCTCCGATACAGCTACGGGAACGCTTTCGCACACTTCCGCGGCCCTACAGACTGCCGCCCTGGGATCCTCTTTGTTCACCGTGGAGACCAAGCCACGGATACTGCCCCCCGCACGAGTGGGAACCCGTTCGGGGGGGGGGCGCTTCACTCTGAGGACTAAAATGGAATTGTCGCATTCCAAACAGGTATCTGGCTCTACACTCACAATACGAAACACACCATTAAGCTGACTATTTTACGCTGGTATTCTGCGTAATAGCACTTAACGCTTTCGCACACTTCCGCGGCCCTACCAGCGATGCCGCCCTACGTACTCTTCACCGTGGAACAAGCACACGGCGTACTAAGCCCCCCGCCACGACAAGGCGGGAACCCGTTCGGGGGGGGGCGTTGTCATTCTCCTGTAAAAGTTCACTGCAGTAAACTATCGTAATATTGTACATTAGTTTATTTTAAAATTATTTTAAACAAAGTAAGTAATGCACGGGTGCTGTAAAGTGCTCGAAACGTCGGGTATTTTAAAAAGTTAAATATACGCGATAAAATCCGTAAAAACTAGTATTATTTAAATGTCATTTGTTTTTTTATTTAACACCGAAGTGACAAATTAGTTACAGTCCACCTGATGGTAACCAGCTACAGCAGTCCATGGACACCTGTAGCCAACTTTAAAGAACGAAGTCTACAGCTGCAGTCACCTCTGAGGACTAAGATTTTTCTTCGTAAAGTATATGCTATTGGCCCTGAGGCTTTTAAAGCTTCATCGAAATAGTTTTCCAAGCGAAGTCCTATGAGCTATCGAGTGCAATGATTTAGACGGCTCGGTGGCGATGCCGAATTCGGTTCAGAGGTACCCCGGCACCTGGATTGTACCGATACCGGGTTATGCCGGTATAATTCAAGGGGCGCTCAGAAGGAAGAGGTACGAACCTCGGCTTGAACCAAATCGAAATATGGAATGAGGACTTCGATGAAATGCCTAACAGACTCTCTCTCTTTCTCTCTCTCTCTCTCTCTACTGACTCTCTATGCTGACAGTAGAAAAGGGAAAGGGAGTGGTACGTACACAGACGGATTCATTAGCAGAAAAGCCATAGATGTGGTACGTATGCAGTTTTTGTAATCCAATTTAATATTTTACTAAATAGAGAACGGACAAACAAGATTCGCTTCCAACAAAAATTTGCGCTTTTTATGTTGCTGAAATCAGAGGTTTGCAAATTATATTTGATCAAATATTTGTGCGTTTACACATATTGGAACCTTTTAGCGATAACACGTGAAACTTTGAATGGACTTAGCCATTTACGGAATACTGATGTAAACGACAAATATGCTTGTTAGCCTTGGCGATTGTTGCAAAATTAATAGAATTTGACATATATCTCCTTTAGGTTACTAGGCAATAAAATAGTATGTTATAGTGGGCGAATAACGCATTGTGTAGGCTTTTTGAAGGTAAGTTGGCTCTTTAAGGTTGACCAATGACGACTGATTTAGATATTTATAGATGTATGAGAGACAAACGGACACAATGTCTATCTTATAGTAGGTAATTGGATGTTACGGCCCAAAGTTCTACATCTAACAAATTTAAATATTGATGAATTTTTTTATCTTCTTATGAGTTCCTGAAGGAGACCGTATTACAGTTCCGTTAATAACAAAATCAGCAATTTTTAAATGTTATTTTTAGTGAGCTTCAAACCTAGAAAAACAATTATGCAATTGTAAACACCAACATGCAACGTGCAACGTGTTTACATGACAGACCATGACTTTACGATAAAGCTGTTGTAAAATGCCACAAACTATAGATGAAAGTTTTAATGGTTTATTTAATAAATAATATTTACTTTTAGTTTAAAACACCGATACTTAATATCGTGGCAATTGTGGTGTGCTCGTTGGTCTAGTGATTGTAGTGGTGCGACTGCTGATCTTGGGGTCCCGGGTTCAAATCCCGGGTGGGGGACAAAAAATCAATAATTGAGTTTTTCCGTCAAGTTCCCCGGTGACTCAGAAAGCACGTAAAGCCGTTGGTCCTGCGCCTGATCTCTCTCTGGTCGTGTCGGTTTACCGTCCCATCGGATTATGAGAGTGAGGGAATAGAAAGTGCTTGCGCTTACACTTGGGCACTATAATCCTATCCAGCTTCAAAGGCTAGTCTCCGTTTAGGCAGGTCGCCGTGACCGAAATTCGGTTTGGAGGACATTACTTAATATCGTAAACAATGTTTAGAATGTTTTTACTTTAGGTTAGTATAAATTAAGTGCAGAACAGCATGAGCCATCTCGATTTTTTTAAAAAAACGTTACCCCAACACTAGGATTTTCTCCTGTATCGTGGTGGCAGTTTACAAACATAAATTGCACAAGAACAAACATCCAGACCCGGAACAATTATTTGTAGGTCCATACAAATAGGGGAGCCGGGGGGGAATGGTAGTCAGTGGGCAATGCGGGTCAATTCAAAATGAGTTGAACCTAAAACTTTACAAAATACAGCTCTGTCGCACGGAGTGTAGCTCCGAACCCCTCCCGCACTGGCCAATACGCCGGCCCGCCAGTAGGCATGTCGATTCACTCTTCGATCTCTGAATCGATTCAAATCAAAGATACTAGAATCGATTATCGATTAAATCGAGGATTAAAAGATCGATTTTCGATTAATCGCGACACTTTCAAACATGAAATTTCAAGAATTTGCGGTTTTTTCTTTAATTGAACTTCAATATTTTTTGAAATTAAAATATTAGTAATCTTATTAATTAAAATTACAAATATTCCTTTTAACCTCTCCTGGTAAGCTTGAAACGCTTGTTTTAGGGGTGGTTCGCCACTCGATCCCTTTTTTACAAAGTGATTCCATGTATCACTTTTATTTGACATTTTAGGCTAAAAACAACAACAATACTTTTAACAAAAGGGCAAACGTATATTTCTCGATCAATCTGTTTCAATCTATTAACTCACTATTTATCAAATTGAAATGAATGCTACACGAACACAATACTGGTTATTTCCTTACTATAAACCTCTATAAACTTCAACATATAATATTTATTTACAGCGTCTAGATATATAGAAAGTACTCCGTCTGTACTTACAGTTCACAGTATGTATGTTTTTGATAATAAAGTAAATTCGCAAGTTCACAGTTCAAACAGCAGTTCACAGCTATAATATTAAATTGTAGTATGTATATGTAGTTTTGTTCAAAGCACAGATTAAGTTAGATCAACATTCCACAGGTAAGAATAGAATTAGAAATTTGGAAATGAAAATGAAATGACAACTTTTCGATATTGTTGGATGCCTCCATAAATATTTATTTTATTCAAATATACAATATGTAACGTAATTAACGCACACCCTCAGACACCCGAATTAGTATATTATGTTATAAACATAATACATACACTGAATTTTTAGTTAAACATTTTTATGCACTGATTATTTATCAAATTAGTTATACTAATTCCGGAAGAATGTTGTGGTCACAGTACAAATCCACGAACGCAAAGAATTTAACGTGCTTGAAATAAAGTTCTATTTTCTTTATTTTTATTGAATGACAGAATTAGTAATAATACAAATAAAACTACACTCTTATAAGTCTTATTGCCTTAAGTTACGGTCCATTTCAGTTTGTTTTGACTGTACAGATTTAATGTGACTGTAATTTACGTAGTTTTAATTACTTTTGGGATAAAAATTACCTATATTAAAATATATGATAGGAATCGATTCAGTAAACAATTCTGAACAAATTACTTTTTCAAAGTGCGTTAATTATGTTACGTGTTGTATATTGCGTTCAAATTATCAACCAAGTAAGATCGGTTGTTTTTGCGTTCCCCAACAGCAAAAAATTAAAAAACTGCGGTATCTTAACCCAGCTTGGGAATTTTATCGCTGGTTCTAGAATCAGATGAATCGGTCCGATTTGAGAGGTTTTTGGAACGATTCAGTGAATCGATGCGGTGCACCGAATCGATCTAAAAAATTTAAAAAAAATATTATTTTGCTCCAAAGAATCGATTTTTCGATTAATCGATTTTAGATCGACATGCCTGTGTCGTGTGTGTGTGATGTGACGCGAGCGACACACGTGTCACAGGGGAGGAGCAGTTGTAAAATTTTAGAAATTTCGATCGAAAACATGAGTATTTATAATTGTTAATTTTGCGTATAAAATAATCTTAAGGTGTAGTACCGGGACTAAACTTATGTTTATTAATGCAATTTATTAGATTTTCTGGTGTTTTTATTTAATAATTCAAATCTAGCAAACAAACCGTCATTGGGGTAATGAGAGTTAGTTGACCCCCATTCCTCGCATCGTTTTTCATTATGATAAAACATTTTTCTTCATTTCAGATGCCAAGGAACTGGACTAGAAAGACCTCTAAAGCGAGTTGGAATGTAGACAACTTGCAGGCAGCTGCTGTACGCATTAGAAAAGGAGTGTCAATGCGCAAAGTTGCCGAGGAAACTGGTATTCCTTTCAGCACATTACAAAGAAGGATAAAGAAAGATGAATTTAAACCTCCAAAACTAGGACGGCATGCCGTTTTTAACAAAGACTAAGAAAATATACTTACAGAACGTGTTTTACAATTAAGTATATGTTTCACGGTTTTAACGACAAATCAACTAAGAAAAATAACATTTCAATGTGCTGAAAATTTAAAGCTATCTCATAATTTTAATAAAGATGCTAGAACGGCTGGCAGGGACTGGATCCAAGGATTCCTCAAGAGAAATCCACGAATAAGCAGTCGAAAGCCTGAAGCTGTAAGTATCCAGAGAATTACAGGATTTAATAAAACTGAAGTGACTAAATTTTTTAAGAATTTGGAAGAAGTCATGACCAAAAGTTCGTTCTCACCTCAAGATATTTATAATATTGACGAGACAGGTATTACTACCGTTCAGGAAACCGAAAAAATCCTGGCTACAAAAGGTCAAAAAAGAGTGGGTTCTTTGACTTCTTGGGAGAGAGGGAAAACGATTACCGTCATTTGTTGCATGAGTGCTGTTTGAACTTTTATTCCTCCTATGTTTATCTACCCACGCATAAGATATTCACCACAACTTGAGAAGGATGGACCATTAGGTGCGGCATATGAAAATTCTAAGAATGGTTGGACGAATGAAGAACTATTCATTAAATGGTTACAACATTTCGTGAAAACCGCTAAACCGAGTAAAGAGAAACCAGTTTTATTATTTTTATTGGACAACCATTACAGTCACTCTACCCTCGAATCATACATTTTTTGCAGCGAACATTTCATTACAATGGTGTCCATTCCTCCTCACACATCACATATGCTACAACCTCTTGACGTGGTTCTTGGTCCTCTTAAGAAAGCTTACTTACAACGAGAGAGTGTGATTTATATATTAAATCACATAATTTACAAAAAATCACGCCATACGAAGTCGCTGGGATTTTTAACAAAGCCTATATGAGAGTTGCCTCAGTAGAGAAGGGAGTCAGTGGATTCGCATCAACAGGAATATTCCCACTCAATCCTCATAAGTTCAAAGACGAAGACTTCTTAGATGCCTCTGATGTTCCCTGTATTGAAAACATTTCTGCCACCATAACAGACTTAAGAGTTAATGAAGTTTCAAATAATCATTTAATTAACAACATTTCAGAAGCAATCACATCAACTAGCGGTAGGAATGTTATAGGACCGCAACCTTCCACAAGTGATGATATTACAAATTATAAACCAAATGATAGTATAAATCAAGAGAACAATAAATCCAACAGTGAACCTCTAGCTGGCCTAGTTTCACAACTAACACTTCTACCTTGCATTGGAAAAGGTAAAGGCAAGGGAAAAAGAACACAACAATCAGAAATTCTTACTGCCACGCCTTTGAAAACGGTTTTTAAAGAAAAAGATAAGACACGAAAGAAAAAAGAAAAGCATACAGGAGGCAAAGCCATTAAGAAGATAAAAGAAGTAAAAAAGAAGTTATTTAAGTCAAGTTCGTCTGAAGAATCGGCTGATGAACAGGTTCTGTATGAGAGTGGTGACAGTGACTTAGAAAATATTGAAATCCCACTAAACATCCAGAAAAACACTCAGATAGAGCGTGATCAGTCTGTGTGCACGATATGCCTCGAAGAGGGAAAATCGAGAGAAATCTGGTACCGTTGTCGTCTCTGTGCTGGATGGGCCCAAGAGGCATGTACAGTATGTGATGATCCAAGTCGCTATAGCTCTGATTTTTGCATTAATTAATAAATTTTGTTAATTTTTATTTGTTTGTTAAAAGAGTTTTGTTACTTTTTGTTTCATAATTTTGACTCTTATTCCCCCATAGACCGACTTTCATTCCCCTTACATGTGGGGTAATTGGAGCCAAAATGACGTTTTGAATTTTTAATTATAATTATGTTTATGGTAATGATAACCAAAAATACTTAAGTAACTAGATACCTGAATAGTTTTTAAAGATAAGTAAATGTGAACAAATTATAAGACTGATTATTAGTGATTATAATAACGAGTTTTCCTTAAGTGACTCCCAATTCCCCCAACTCCCCTACTTGTTCCGTGCGGGATCGAACCCGCGGCCCCCAGCGCAGCCGCTCATTGCTAAGCCATTGCTCCACGGAGCCATCGATTAAGAATGAATTGTCTCGTTACCAGTTTTAGTTAGTTTTAGTTTTAGTGTCGCGGATTTTCGTCACTCACCGTGCGAAACACAGAAGTAGTACCTTCGTCGTATCGCCAAACATGTGTTAAATTAGCTTTTAAACATTTAACAATTTCATTGGGTTCAAGAATCGACGAACTCGGGCCACGGATTTATTTAGTAATTTTTTCTTATAGAATAAGATTGACTAATGAGCACACAGTTCACCTTAAGTGGTTGCTATGCACCCATAGAGATTTACATTTATCCTTAATTAAGAATCAAATTTTGGATACAAAGTGCAGGAAGACAACGCTCCCCCAAGTGGGAGATGTCTATAGGCCACAGCATCAGTGGATCATTGGAAACAAGTCGTTCCATCTTAGTCTTCAGAGACTAAGATGGAACGACTTGTTTCCAGAGAAGGGTCTGCAGTTCTCACTAATGAAAGGCAAGAGTGACCGCAGTGACCGTTATTTGGTCTGGAGGACAGTATTATTAGAGTTCTTAACTACGCACTTGTATATTGACAATTGTCACTAAAAATACTATTTAATGGCTATGATATACCAACGAATACTGAATTATGGTGAATTAGTATGCCTTAGGTATCGCAGATAGTTCCAATATGTTTTATGTATGCTAATGAGGCTTAGTGTTGAATCACAAATAGCGATTTATGTCGTTCTGTGAAGGTCACTAGGCTTGATACGCATGCCGATTACTTAAACAAATATTATATAACTTGGGCTAGACATGTGTCATTCATACATCTCAAGTGACCCGATCATTCAATGATGTTAATAATGCCGTGTAGTGGCGGTTAAGAATATCCACTACCTCACATCTTCCCATGCGTGTCGTAAAAGGCGACAGAAGATAACAAGCAGGAAATGGGCAGCAATATCTACTTGATAACAGCAATGGTACAACAAAAACAAACGGTGGTTGCCAAGCCGCTCGCCAAGAGTGGCTAGGCAATACATCCCCATGATGAACGTTACGAAGAGATGTCCCCGGCGGCCTCGCAATTTCTGGCTACGGTGGTGACCATTGTAACGACAGGGCAGGGGGTGATAATAATCTCCGGTGGTGGTTCAGTTGCCACCTTAGACGCCTCGACCTGGCAACATACAACGTATACACCCTGAGGATTGATGATAAGATCCTGGAGCTTGAAGAAGAGCTAGACAAGTTGCGCTGGAATATAATAGGATTATCCGAGATCCTAAATGAGGGGGAGCGCACGGTGATCCTCGAATCCAGCAATTTATTCTATTTTCGGGAGGGTGACCATCTGTCCCAAGGAGGTGACGAATTTATCGTCTCTCGTTAATCTCTCGTTAACAATTTTGAAAAGATTGGAAGTGTGTCGATACGAGTTGCGTACCTTATACTCAAAACCACCAAACGGTATTCGCTGGCAGTCAAAGAGGTTTACGCACCAATCTCGGCACATTTCGATTAGAAGGTGGAGAAAATGTATGAGGATATATCCAATGTATGAATTCATCCAAAACCCACTATACGGTGCTAATGGGAGACTTCAACGCCAAACTAGGCACAAGAGAGAACGGTGAGATTAAGGTTGGTAAATTTGGGATAGGGCAACGAAACCCAAGGGGCCAATAACTGACGATGGCTGGCGACTACATAGTAACTGTTCAGTGATGTCTCAGTGATTGCAAGGGTGAAAACTGGCAGCGATTGACGAATAGTTAGAGGCACAATAAACTTAATCGTTAAGTTGGAGAGGTCTCGTCTTAAGAAGTCAACGCTCCTTCCCCTCTTATCCAAAGTCCCAAAACCTTTCTGCTCGAGTTACAAAACCATTTTCAGTGCCTAGAAGATGCAATGCGGTGAACGATATGAATGATAAGCTCGTGGAAACTATCCATGTGGTTGGAGCTAAGTTCTGCAAGACCCGCTACTGAAGAGCACTAAAACTCTCCGATTACACTCTTAATCTCATGGCTGTTAGACAGTAAATGATACTGCAGTCTTCAACAGATTTGACAGCATACAATCAAATGAACGAACAGATCTCTCAGTGCAGCGGTACTTACGCAACTTTAATATTCGATAGATCGAAACTAAGGCTCCAAAGTCTTTTCCAGAGATCTGTTTGCTAGAAAGATACAACTGTCAAAGCTGAAGACTGAGTGTGGCAGCATCGCGTCCGGGACACTTGAGATTTTGAGTCAGATTGAGAGGATCTATGGGTAGCTGTAAACATCATCGTTGGAGCAACACGCAAGTGTGAAAAATGATCCAACAGCATGGCTTTGATCGGGGTTTCTCTGCGTCATAAACTTAGAAATGAGGATATCCGTAGTAGAACCAGAGTGACCGACATAGCCCAAGGGATTAATAAGCTAAAGTGGCAATGGACTGGCGATTTAGCTCGAAGGACTGACAACCGATAGTGAAAAAAAAGATAGGTTCTTGAGTGGCAGCCTCATACCGGTAGGCGAAGCGTAGGAAGACTCCACACTAAATGGAGTGATGACCCGGTAATACATACAGGACATACAGGAATTCGATGGATGCAGGTGGCTCAGGATCATGCTTTGTGGCATTCAGCCGTGGACTTATGAAAAGTTGTAATGATGATGATGATATTCAAGTATTGATTCGACTTACGATCCGGGTTAAACGAATCGATCATTTAAATGGATCATTTCGAGTTTCAGTCTGTGATATGTGAGACACGCTCAACTAATGTCGGTCATTGGACATTGCTATATATACTCTTTGGTCGCAGATCTTGTCAATCGTTTATCGTTACCAAATGAAACTGGAAATGGAACGTTAAAAAAATGTAATTGCAATTATCAATACTTTGATGCAACCCGAGTAAATTAAACAAATCATTCACGATTGACACATGTCTAACTTGGGCTGTGGCAAATAAATATACAGGGTTATTATGAAATTTGCAATAACCAGCCAAATTTGCTGGGAAGGTTCAGAATATGTAATATAGGCAAATTGTAATGAAAAACTAATAAAAAAATCTGAAATATTCTGTCCCTTTTATCTTTTAAATTCAAAATGCGTGGTAATGCATTATTTTAACCGATTTTACTGCGAACGCACACATTCGTAAGGGTCGATCTGTAGGCAAAAACGTTGTTGCCATAAATCACATTCAATTAGGGATAATTTCAAATAAAAGTGGAAGCGTTATTTACTCGTATTTATAAAAATTGCAATAAAGGTATATCATATTTTATATTTACTTAAGTTTCAAATTTGGCTACTCTTAAAAAAAATAACACTGTTTGTTGTTTAGTAGTATTACAAGGTTAAGCCTATAGTTACCTTATCTTAGTGCGCTAAAGTATTGCAAATTATATGGCATTGCAAACTTAAGCCTATAATTACCTTATTTTAGTGCGCTAAAGTATTGCAAATTGTAAGCCATTGCAAGGTTAAGCCTATAGTGTCCTTACCTTAGTGCACTAAGATAGGGAAGCTCTAAAAAGTTTGATGGGGTGGATACAGCAGAAAAATATTTAAGTTCCGCCTTTTCATAGGATTATAATGTAATTATTTCGAATGCAAGAGAGAATGGATTTTTGTATAACTAATTCTGTAAGCTTTCTACATCGTTTGTCTGTATCAGTGCGAATACTGATCATGATGTCACGGATTCGAATCCTTGCTCGGTCATTGAATATTTTTGTGTCTAGAAGTCAGGTGAGGGTGTTTTATCGTGCCTTGAAAAGCAGTAAAGCTGTTGATCCAGCGACTAATCTCTCACCGATGTTGGTTATGGATCAATCGGATTATAACAGTGAGGAAATAGAGAGTGCCTGGGCTTGCGTATATAATCATGCACTTTTAATAATCTTGTCTTGTGCAGATGGTAAATCTCCGTTAAGACTGGCCGCCATGACCCAAATATGGTCCGAAGACGTTATAATATATCCAGTCAGATTGGCAAAAAGCATTCTAAAAGGAACATTTTAACCTTAGACTGAAATCCTTAGGTAGATTATATCGCATTCAAGTTAACAAAATAATAAAACAAAACAAATTGATTCCTGGAGTTATCTTTATAAATAAATTTAACTTTTTAATAAGTCTGTTGGGAAGCGAACCTCGCCTCGGACCGGCCACAGCTACAAGGTCGAAGATATAAATTATTATTTAACTGATAATTGATAGCTTGTATACACAACCTTTTTTTATAGTACCTACTCGCGGTCAAGTCATAGGCTTCGATCCATAAATTTTGTGAGTCCCGCCTACGAAATCGTATTTAATGGTATTTAATTTTTACGCCTCTTTATTTTGTTAATAGTAAGGAACATTGGGAAAATATCGGTCAATTTCATGAAATACGCAGTTAGATTGCGAGTGTGATTTGGGGCTGTCACTACTTTTTTTATAGAAAAGGAACAAAAGAGCATGCGGCACTTACCTGATGGTAAGTATCTTTTCTTGGAGGTTCCTAGGGAGTATAGAGTAAAACTATATAATTTTATCGCGTTTAATTTACTTATTTTAACTTATTTTTAATTCCAGAAGTTTCGGGGGTCTGAGATGTTTGAAATGGGGACGTCGAACATCTCAGTACCCCTCCCCCCGTGACCAT